CAGGTCACTCGTCGTACCTACATTCAAAGTGTACCATGCCACCTGTCCTCTGGAAAGAGGACGACGTTTAGTTTGGATTCGATTGACGACGGAGGCGCATATACATATAATGGTTGAAAAATTTACCTCACTTAAAAAATATCTTATCTAAATCCACTTTACTATGTCCGAGATGATGATTCATATTTCAGTGAAACGACGGCTTAAAATAAACCATTATGCATATTCATTCGCATCACTAGCCAAACATTATTCGGACGTTTTCTCTGTTGCATAGGTATTTTTAGATATTCGCCTAGTGTCTTCCTCACTTTCGTCACGAAATCTATTTGTGAGTCATTAAAGAGCTGCAAATCCGGCCGGAAATAAAGTCACTGGCAGGAAACCGGTGCTGGAGTCCAAAGCTGATTTTGTAGCTGACTTTTTTTAACGACTCTGCACACTTGTGCCTGCAATAAATCCAAATCGAGTGTGAAGGTAGTGGAAACGCAATTAACGTAACAACCGTAAAGAAATACGCACAAACAAATAATAAAGCAATATCAAAGCAAATTATTTTTAGCCGGAAGATAAAGGAAGCCGTCGTAATTCAAACGGACCCAGCGTGTGAATCAAGATACTAGTATGAAACTAGGTTAGCAGTGGTACGAAACCATAAAGCAGCTTTCACAACGAAGGCTGAAATTTCCACGGTGAAGTTTACTACCTTACCGACCGTATTATATTTCAAAATTCTCTTTGTATATTATACTCTTCCTTGAAAACAAATAGATTATGATTCCAAACGCTATTTTAATTCGATATCGGTATCATCTCCTACCAAATATTTTGAATTTTGAATGTTTAGGCAATAAACACAACAGAAATGTTTTGACAAGAATTTTAAAACCAACATGAAGTTACAGCTGGATGACATTTCCGATTAAGAACCATCCATGGTACAAAAAGTAATTAGAAAATGACAGCAAGCGATAATGAGGTCTGATTTAGTTTTAAGGCATGAACCAGTTCATGTCTGAACCGATTTTCCAGTGATTTCCATAGCTCACGGAAAAAACAGATATACATGAAAACCGAAAGATAAAAACACTACCAGCCGCTCATTAAGCTATTCACACAACAATTTAATGAAACAAAAGCCGAATCATAAGCATTATTGCTGACAACGACATGACATTCACTCTCAGCGAAGAGTTCTGAGGCAAAAATATATCAATTTGGGCAAAGCCACATCGTCGGATTTCCGAATTCTGACAGTCTGAGTCAAGAAAGTTAGCTTTCTTCCAATTCCAGACATCGTTCACCGAGCATCGTCTAACGTTTTTGCAGAACTTCCTACAGTCGAGGGTCTACAGTACCTCGAAAGATCGAGCAATGATTTCTTTGGTGAATGACGCGAACTGTGACGTCAATCATTCTGTAAACCTGAACTACCAGAGAAACTGGAAACCTTCTGTCAGTACTTAAAGGTATCTTCGATGGGAAGGTGTTAAGCTATAGTTTCTTAGAAAAATTCACAGAAATCGACTGTCAAACTTGATTACAAGCGTCTGAAATGAGGTTTTTGAGGCAAAACGCTGCCCTCTCGCATCTCGACAAGGTCCGAAACACAGATGTCCAACAGTACTGGTATTCAACCACTGCTTATCCAGGTCAGGATGTGGAAGTCACAGCTGCAATGGTTTAAACAGCCCTTGCGAATGCCTCCGGTAAGGTAAACGAAACAGCTATTACTTATTGAACCTAACCAGTCTCAAACCACAGGAAAGGCGAAAAATATCCTGGGACAAGTGCTTCGATGGACTTTGTCCCATCCCTCTCAGATTATCTTCTGTCAAAGCTCAAACATTGGCACAGAATCAGGAAGGAACGTTTGGAGCACTGCCTGATGAGTCTGCCTTCGCCACCCACAAGAATAAGCGGCCATCGAGACTAATTGATTGACTGCTATCAAATGGACATGAAAAACATTTTTATGCATAACACATATCAAATCAACTTGGAGCAGTAAGGATATTATGGGGCATTACAACTGTTTTACATAAAGATTCTCTTGCCTTTGGAGTTAC